TTAAAAGAAGCCGGGTTTGGTGGCTCAGCCTGTAATCCCGCACCTTTGGGAGGCTGAGGTGAGTGGATTGCCTGAGCCCGCGGGTTCGAGACCCGCCTGGGCAGCAAGACCTCATCTCTACAATAAATCAAAAAAATCAGCCGGGCGTGGGTAGCGCATGCCTGTAATTCCGGCTACTTGGAAGGCCAAGGAGGAAGGATCGCCAGAGCCCAGCAGGTCGAGGTTGCGGTGGCCGGGAGCAGCCACTGTACTCCAGTTTGGGGGACAGAGCGAGACTCCAACTCAAAAAAAAAAAAAAATTTAAAAAAAAAAAAAAAAAAAAAAGAGGAAAATGCATCATGAGACAACTACATAACTACAAAAGGAGTCCCGTCCCAGGGTCCAGATGGCCTGAGGTGGAGCTGAGATGATGATGGCACTATCTCCTGTCACCCCCCAGGTGGGACCATCTAGTTGCAGCTGCAGGGAAACCAACTCAAGGCTCCCGCTGATTCTACAACATGAACATGTGTAATTCTTTCATTATATATTACAATGTAATAATAATAGAAATAAAGTGCACAATAAATGTAATACACTTGAATTATTCCAAAGCCACCCCCCATCTCCCCCAGTTCATGGAAAAATTGTCTTCCATAAAACCGATCCCTGATGCCAAAAAGGCTAGGGACCACTCAACAAGTGTTAAGACAGAACACATGAAAAGATGTCTGCAAAAGAAAAGGAATAAAATAAAGGAAATGGCAGAATATAGGAAGAGTCAAGAAGAAAAAGAAAAAGAAGGAAGGCAAACAGGAAGAGGCTATGTATCTCAGTTCTTCACTAGTCCTAATAGCTTTGGGATGGACTTCTCAGTGTTTGTAAGGAGAAAGCACAGTGGAGGGCTGGGGCTGAGTCCTCCCATCTGCCTAGGAACGGAGCTCACCTGACAGTAGGAGGGCAAGCCAGGATCGTAGAGCGCAGCCTTCAGGAGCCGCACCAGCAGGTCTTGTACCTCGGCCACACTGTCGCCTTGACACAGGAGTCCCTCCTGCAGGACCCCCAGACTAGGCACATCTTTGGCAGGGTCAAAGCCCAGGACCTTGCCGAAGCTGCGCAGGAACTCCACGACGGTCAAGCAGTCTGAGAAGGCCCCACCAGGCAGTGTCAGACCCGGGATACGTGAAAAGTCAGGCAGGGGCTGGAGAGAGAAAAGTGGTTGGGGGCTGTTGAACACACCAGAGGCAACACTGTGGAGGTCTATGAGAGGTGCTACCATTAAAAGACTGCAGAAGCCCCAAGTGTCTTCACAACTGACCCCCCCATGGGGACATGCTTCCTGGCCCACCTGGTGGTCAAGCAAACACATGTCCTCCGTGGGCTTCTTCATCTCCTCCAAAATCAGCTGCTGCCTCTGCCGTTCCTCCAGGCGCCTCTGTGTGGTCAGAGTCTTGTCCGCTTTGCAGGCTGGCTTGACTTTGGCCACCTCCTCCTTCTCCTTCGTTTTTACCTTCTCCTTCTTCTCTTTCTTGACTTTCTCCTTCAGTCTTTCCTGCTTGGTCTTGACCTTCTCCTTCTCACCCAAGGAGAGAGGAACCAAGAATGCCATAAAGATACCAGTCCCCAGTCCTTCTCCTTCCCAGTTCCTCCCAACCTCAGAGTCCAGAAATCTAACTATAAAGCAAGGTTGACATATACCTGTCTTGCAAAATCAGTCTAGTGGCTTTGAAACTATGCTTGGCGAGTATGTACATGCACCTACCTTGGATTTCTTCTTAGCTTCCTTCTGTTTTAAGCTCTTGGTCTCTTGTTTCCGCTTGTTTCTGGCCTGTAAACCATAAGGGAAGTCATTTCCCCTCAAACTCTGAAAGCATTTCTGCTTGGGCTACGATTCAAAAACAGACAAGGGTGCTGGGGAGGAAAGGTGAGAGATGGGATGAGGGGCTGGCAATGGACTGATTCTCTCACCCTAGAGATGACTACATTATTCCTGAACAAGCCCAATTCTCTCAGTCAAGTCCAAGAAATCTCAGGGTAATGAAGTTGTGCTGCTACACAGGGGGTGGCAGATGTGGGAGATGCAAGAAAAGATCAAGTAGTTTGCAGGAAAAGTAAATCCGCCATGTTATCTGATGACCCTCACCTGCCCTTGGGTAGTAGTCTGACACTCTCCCCGTTGTACCTTCTGCCTCATCTTCTTCTTGCTTTTACTGATCTTGACTTTGTCCTCTTCATTCAGTGCTTCTGAGAGCAGAAAGAAAAATGAAACAAGTGAGGCAGAAAACTTATGACTGGCATCCAGGGCGTCACATGCCCATCTCAAAGATGGCCTCCCAAGTAGTTCCCTAAAAAACTAGAGTAATTTTTTTTCTTTAATATATATATATATCCACACATAATAAAATATTGGGGGAAAAAACATAGGAGAGGCACCTGCTATGGGAGTAGCACAAAGAACTCAAATGGCATCTCCTGCCCAGAAGCACGAGCCCCTGGCTCCCATCGACTGCTTTAGAAGGGGTCCTGTGATAGAAAAGAGGCCCCAATGGCAGAGTAGCCTTGTGGCTGTCGGTCTCTCAGGTTACCTGAGAAGGGTAGCAATCCACAGACTGATTTTAAAGCAGGCAAAGGAAACAGAAAGCCAAGCTGCCAGGCAAAGAGGGTAGTACTTGGAAGCAGTGATGAACCAAGAATGTGCCAGAAAGGTCCAAACAGCAGGCACCACAGAAGAATCAGATCAACACACTGATGTGGTCTTGTTCCACAAAAAGATCTGAATCTCCTCCTTTCTGGAAAACTGAATACTATAGTTTTGCAATCAAGAACATTTCATTATTGATATTTCTGACAAAACAGCATCTATTGTTTCTGGTACAGAAATACCACCATAGGCTGTATGACAACATTCTAAGTCAGACACACTGAAAGATAAGGCCTGTTCTAGGTCATATAGTCAGAACACAGCAGAGTTGGAAGTCTGAATGAGAATCAGAAGACTACATCTTTTCACAATCTTTACACTACACCAGGTTAAATACAGTATTTTCTGAAAAATTAGACATTTCCCACCTGCCCATCCTACTAAAACAGGCCAGCCAGGCTCAGTGGCTCAGCCTGTAATCCCGCGCCTTTGGGAGGCTGAGGTGAGTGGAATGCCTGAGCCCGCGGGTTCGAGACTCGCCTGGGCAGCGAGACCTCATCTCTACAATAAAAAATCAAAAAATCAGCCGGATGTGGTAGTGCATGCCTGTAATTCCGGCTACTCGGAAGGCTGAGGCGGAAGGATCGCCAGGGCTGCGGTGGTTGGGAGCGGCCACCGCACTCAGGTCTGGGCGACCGAGCGAGATGCCAACTCAAAACAAAAAACAGTGCCAAATTTATGTGGTGTGTGTGTGTAGTAGTCTCACTGTTGCCCAAGCTGGAGTGCAGTGGTACACTCACGGCCACTGCAGCCTCAGCCTGCTGGACTCAGTTAATCCTTCAGCCTGTCTTCCAAGTAGCTGGAACCACAGGTGTGTGCCACCATGCCTGGCTAGTTTTTTTCATTTATCGTAGAGATGGGGCTCACCAAGTTGCCCAGGCTGGTCTCCAACCCCTGGGCTCAGGTGATTCTCTCACCTCTGCTTCCCAAAGTGCTGGGATTACAGGTATGAGCCACTGTGCCTGGTATTTGGAGACTTTTTTAAGAGACAGAGTCTCACTCTGTTGCTGTTGCCCAGGATAGAATGCAGTGATGCGAACATAGCTCAATGCAGTCCTGAATTCCCAGGCTCAAGTGATCCCTGGCTTCAGCCTCAGGAGTAGCTGGGAATACAGCTGATTATCTTTTTTTTTTTTTTTGAGTTGGAGTCTCATTCTGTCACCCAGACTGGAGTGCACTGGCTGCTCCCGGCCACCACAGCCTCGACCTGCTAGGCTCCGGTGATCCTTTCGCCTCAGCCTTCCGAGTAGCTGGAACTATAGGCGCACACTACCACACCTGGCTAATTTGATTTATTGTAAAGATGAGGTCTTGCCAAGTTGCCCAGACGGGTCTTAAACCTGCAGGCTCAGGCAATCCACTCACCTTGGCCTCCCAAAGCATGGGATTGCAGGAGCCAGGCTTTTTTTTTTTTAGAGACAAGGTCTTGCTGTTGCCTAGGCTCATCTCAAACTCCTGGGCTTAAGCAATCCTCCTGCCTCAGCCTCCCAAAGTGCTAGGATTACAGACATGAGCCACTGAGCCCAGTCTCTCTCTCTCTCTCACTTATCTTCTAAATTCAGATGTGAATTCTGAATCTTCATGACAATAATGAGTAAGGTAGGCCAGCACAACTGGGCTGACATGGTGGCTTAAGCCTATAATCCCAGCACTTTGGGAGGCCTAGGCGAGAGGATTGCCTGAGCCTGTGAGTTTGAGAGTAGCCCGGGCAACATGGTGAGACCTTGTCTCTACAATAAATCAAAATATTAGCTGGGCATGGTAGCGCACACATGTATTTCTGGCTACTTGGAAGGCTGAGGTGAAAGGATTGCTGATGCCCAGCAGGTTGAGGCTGTGGTGGCCGGGTACGTGCCACTGCACTCCAGCCTGGGAGACAGAGTGAGACTCCAACTTAAGGAAAAAAAAAAAAAAAGAGTGTACAACTGAAACCAGTATGGTAAGGAGCTGAAAGACGCAAAGAAAGGGCATGAAAATCCTCTCTGAGCTATATAATCACATCTGAGGACAGCCTAAGGTTTCACTAGTAAAAGCAACTCAAGGGAAGAGACTGGTTGGAAAAGAAGTACTCCAAAGTGCTTGGACCCTGATGCTGCATTCCAAGAAGTTAATTCAGATTCCTTCTGTCCAAATAATGTCAGTCACACTCCTGGGAAACCCAGGTATTAGCAATTCATCAACATCTCAGATATCTCAGGGTACCTGCATCCCAAAGAAACACCACTGTACCTTGGGTCTCCAGTTTCTTCAGGAGGCGGCTGTCTGTCTTATTCAACAACTCAGTGACTTTGACCTTTGGTGGCCGACCTCGGCCCCGTTTCACCTTGGGGATTTCCTTGGTCTTAGCCTTCTCAGTGTTTCGAGGTCGGCCCCGTTTGCCAGTAATTGCCTGAATTCTGGATGGGATCTCCTCCGCGGAGAGCTGTACCCACTGTAAGCCCTAAAGCAACAAGGATTACTATTAGGTCAGTGCAGGTTCCTAGGTGCTCTGAACCATTCAATGCTCCAGAACCTTCAAACCCCAAAAGAAGAAGCTACAACTTGTCCACCAACTCTTTCTCAGGGACAAAAGCATATTAAACCCTTGGGTCTGCACCTCTGGTGTGTCTCTCTCTTCAAAGAAATCTCCAACAGGCATACGGGGACTGAAGCTGAAGTGCTCACGACGGACACTGTGTCCCACGCTGCGGCTCAGGTACTAAGAGAAGGAAGTTAAGTGACATTCATGAAGTTGCAGCCCTACCACGTCTTTGACCAGCGATGGCACAAGTAGAAAAGCCCAGAGCAGACAATGCCAGCCTGCTGCCACTGGGCCCCAGAAAGGAGCCTGCGCTTCCTTTTAAAAAGTCCATGAAAGCAACATTACCTTGATCACTTCTGGAAATTGTTTCATCCTCTTCCCACAGGGGCCGTAATACCAGGTCTCCCCCTGCCATCGGTGGCTGCCCTTCTTGATGCGGACTTCTCTCCGCCACCTGCCAGAGAAGCACACGGGCCCTGCCACCAGGTCACACTCCTACCTACTCCTATGCCTCCTAGGGGCCAAGCCCACTGAGAAGACCCTCCCCCTATCAGTATCACTAGAACTTCATGCAGATGCAAAAGCAGCATGAGAGATAAGCTTGGCTAGAAGGCAGACTTGAGCTCCAGCAAATACCTCAAGGCCCTTATAAGAAAAGCAATACACCAAACTGCACAAACCCAGAAAGATGTCCACCTCTCCTTTTTTACAATTGGTGAGATAAGCAGCCAGAAACCCCTCCCTGCTGCCATTCAAGGCAGTTACTGGGTTTCCAGTAAAAAGGATAAAGACCTAAGGGGGTGAAGGCAGAAGACAGGGTGGAGCAGCAACAGGAGAGTAAATCTGGTGCTGACTCCATGAAATGACTCAGTAGGCCAGAGTACAGCTAGGAACTCTGCTCTGAGCAACACTACTCTGGGACTAACCTTCTGTAAACAGTACTCTGACTTGGTGACCACAAGTAACCTTGAGGGGCAGGGGTGGGAAGACCCAGGAAGGCAGTTATTTTTATAAGGCCCTTGGTGTCAGCAGGCTTTTAATTCTAGTCATGTACTGCTCCTGCCCTCACCGCTCTGAAAAGCATTAAAACAAACTGGTCAGACGTGGTGGCTCACACTTGTAATCCCAGCACTTTGGGAGGCAGAGGCAAGAGGACTGCCCGAGTCCAGGGGTTTGAGACCAGCCTGGGCAACTTGGCAAGACCTCACCTCTGCAATAGATAAAAAATTAGCCGGGCGTGGTGGCACGTTGTGGTAGTTCCAGCTACTTGGAAGGCTGAGGTGGAAGGATCACCTGAGCCCAGCAGATCGAGGCTGCAGTGGCCATGAGAGTACCACTACACTCCATCCAGCCCAGGCGACAGAGTGGGACTCTGACTCAAAAAAATAAACAAAAAAACGCCCCAATTCATTAGTACTAAGCCACTCCCCATTCATTACTATCCCTCCTCCACAAAAATAGGACAAGCCAGCTGGTATGGATTGAACCTTAGGGTTTGGAATAGTTGGAGCTCCCTGAGCACTACCAGCAGAGAATGAATATGTGAGGGAAGACAGACTCTCAGAGAAAAAAAGCCCAGGAACCCCACGCCAAGAAACATTATCCTTGCAGATGAGTGTCCTGTAGTCTACTCTTGTCTGGCTCATGCTCCCCAACCTTAGAGGAGCAAGGAGTCCCCTTCTTCCTAGAGTCATGCATTAAACTTGTCCAGCTCAATGCACGTAGCAAACTAGAGCATTTACCCATGTTGGAGGGGAAGACGAACTTCTTCTGGGGTAGCAATACGTCTCCTCAGGACATCACCTTGGGAAGAAAATAGGGGACACTCAAGTTAAGAGTTCAAGCAAAACAGCTAAGACCAGTAAGGGAAGGGCTAAATGCAACATGGACAGAAACTTTTCTTGGAACCAGCCAAGGACAGAACAGAATCTAGACACTCACCACTACCAGAAGTAGTGACTCCTCCAGTGATCTCTTCTAGGTCAGCAATGGCTTCAGGGAAGCTGCTGACATCCTTATTTGCTGGGGAGGCTGTTGGGAAGGCAGCTGCCGGGGAAGTTACGGGGGAGACTTCTGGGGAGGTCACTGGAGCTGTCAAGGAAACTTCGGAGGAGACTGCTGGGAGGACTGCCGAGGAAGTCGGGCAGACCATTGGAAAGACTGCAGAAACTTCTGGAGAGATTTCTGGGGAGGCTGCCGGAGAAACTGCTAGGGATATTGACGGGGAGGCTGTTGGTGAGACTGCTGGTGAGGCTGCTGGATGTAGCTGAGCAGTGGATGACTGGTCAGGAGCTGACTGACTCAAGGGTGGTGGGAAGTCTGAAGCCTGAGTCTCCATTTCTTCCTGTTCTGCGTCACTACCATTATTCAGGTCAAAGCTGTTATCTATAAACCAAAGAGGCATAATAGGTAAAGGAAAAAAGGCGTCACATAAAGCAAGAGAATCTGCTCAATCAAACCCAACTAAGCTAAACAGGGTTACTTCAAGGGTTCTGCCCTAGGGTTGGAGAAAGAAGTCGCTTCTGGCTTTTCTCCCAACCACTGATGAAGGTTAAAGAGCAAAACTGCTGCTGCTGTCATTGTGAAGAAGTATCTTTTACCTAGAGCCAATAAGGCCTCTAGCCTCCCTTCCCCACAAACTCCAGGTCTCACAAATTCTCCAAGGCAGGAGCATAGGTCAGAGTGTAGCAGCCTGTCTCTTTTAGTCTCACCATACACTATCCATAGCCTCTCAGTGCCCAGCAAGGTATTCAGGATTTCGCACTCCTGAGACCCCATGAAACCTCCTCGCTCACATTTTCTCAGGTCAGGGACTTTCTTTCTCCTATCTCTCCTCACTTACCTTGCAGGACGGACTCCCCTAAGACAGGAGAGGTGGGACTGGCAAAGATGGAGGCTGATGTTTGGCTGTCATCTGCCAGGAGACTGAAGGCAGTAGCATTATTGAGGGAAGGGCAGTCGAGGGCAGAGATCACAGGGCTGTCCTCAAGGGGCAATTTGTCCTCTGTACCCATGAGTTCTGTGTCATCTATACCATAAAGTCCTCCACTCACTGGCTCTGTTCATGGGGGTGGAAAAATAAGAGAGCAGGATAATGAGGAAAAAAATCAAAAAGCAAAATTCCTTTAAGAAACACTGATCTAGCCGGGTTCGGTGGCTCAGTCTGTAATCCCGCGCCTTTGGGAGGCTGAGGTGAGTGGATTGCCTGAGCTCGCGGGTTCGAGACCTGCCTGGGCAGCAAGACCTCATCTCTACAATAAATCAAAAAAATCAGCCAGGCGTGGTAGCGCATGCCTGTAATTCTGGCTACTTGGAAGGCTGAGGTGTAAGGATCGCCGGAGCCCACCAGGTCGAGGTTGCGGTGGCCGGGAGCGGCCACAGCACTCCAGTCTGGGCGACAGAGTGAGACTCCAACTCAAAAAAAAAAAAAACCAAGAAACACTGATCTGAAAACATCCGCTTCTAGTTTCTACAGTGTGAGGATTATAATTATTATTTTTTTGAGTCAGGGTCTGTTGTCCAGACTGGAGTGCAGTGGCACAATCATAGCTCACTGCAGCCTTGACCTCCTGGGCTCAGGTCATCCTTCCACCTCAGCCTTCCAAGTAGCTGGGACTACAAGCACACACCACCACACCTAAGTATTTTTGTATTTTTTTGTAGAGGCAAAGTCTTACTATGCTGCGCAGGCTGGCTTCAAACTCCTGGGCTAAGGCAATCCTCCCACCTCAGCCTCCCAAAGTGCTGAGGTTACAGGCATGAGCCACCACACCCGATCCTTTCTTTTTATTATACCAAGGAAAACGTATAGCCCTCTCCCTGAAAGTATAAAGTCATGAGACCGATCATAAAAGTTTAAGGCGAAAGTTAGGAAAAGGTATTAGTGGTATGTCTACCCAAAGACCTATGCAAAATTCTAGCATTTATCATAAAGTAGACCTTTCTTTTTTGAGTTGGAGTCTCACTCTGTCGCCCAGACTGGAGTGCAGTGGCCACTTC